TGTCTATCTATCTATCTATCTATCTATCTATCTATCTATCTATCTATCTATCTATCTATCTATCTATCTATCTATCTATCTATCTATCTATTCTCTCTTACCCACGCACCCACCAAAAAAAACTTAGTCTTGTACACGCTCTCACCTATAATATTCACGGCTAAATATTCATACTCTGCTGTTGTATTTGCCCTCAGAGTGAATTGGAAAGAATCAGACAGGCCCTCATCACAGCCACTGGGAAAACTGACATCGCTAAGCTGGAAAACGCTGTGGAAGAATTTGAGCGCAACTCTATGCCTGATCTGGGAGACTTGACTAGAGCTAGACAGAGGCTGGTAGAACTCCATCTTGCTAGTAGGTGGACAGTTACACTGGTTTGGGAATTTGACATGGTTCCTGATTTTAGATTCAGATCTAAGCTTATCTCATAATCTTAATCATCCGGTGCCTTGCCGACTGGCGTCGGCGATCATGGCCCTCCACTTCAGTCTGTCTTGAGTTGCAGTGATGGTGTCTGTCGTTCTTGCGGTTCCCAGCCATGTTGTCAACATGTCTAGTGTCTTTTCCCTCTGTCTGCCTCTGCCTCTCTTTCCATCAAACTTGCCTGTTGTTACAATATTCTCCAACGCTTCTTTCCGCATTGTGTGTCCAATGAACTTTGGCTGTCGTTTGTGTGTATATTCGTCATAAGCTGTCGTCTAGCAGTAATTTGCTTCAACCTACACTTCTTTTGTTTTTCTTACTGTCCATGGGGTACGCTATCTCATAATGGTGTCCTGCAAAAGCTCAAGGCAGCTGATTGTGGTTGTTATTGTAAATTAAGGTGTTAAAAATATTGGGAGCAATGTTAGCACAGTTGTATTGTCGTAGGTCTTGTTCAAATTTTCAGACTGAGAGGGATGCAGCATTCCAGCAGGAAGACACAAACACACGAACTCATCGTCTTTTGTGGGCTACAGGAAATGACTTACTATTAACCAATACGCCCCAGACGCCAGTTTCCACTGAAACAACAACCAAATCTGCCGTCTGCTGTTCTATAATCTTAGAGGGAAATAAACACTCTGTGCTCGTGAAAGAAAGAAAGTAATTTTATTGACCAAAGAACAAACAAACAAAAAACTCACTAAAAAAATATCAGCACGAAACAACATCAATATCTCTGACAGTGCGAAATCAAATTAAAACATACAACGATGCTTCCTAAATTTCCAGGCTTAAAACCTCAAGATGCAGAACACAATCTCGCTGCTGTCAGCCTTAGTGGCAGTGTATGCTTTCTTGCCAAAAGTTCAATTGTCAACTTTGATTGTGGTGTGATTATATCAGAGCTGCTATTACTAATTTAGTGGACTAGCGTTTTACTTTTAGAAGCTAAATTTGAATTGAAAGGTAAAAGTTGTCCTCCATAAAGTAGACAGAAAAATATAAGAAATTGTAGCTGAAAATTGACTTGAACCAAGTAGTGTACTACCTATTTATTCACAGACCTGAAGAAAACCACGAGAGATAGGAAGCTAGAGGACCTCGAAAGAGCGATTGACGCGGCCAAGAAATCACATGTGGCAGACCAGCTAGTGGACACTAAAGAGATGGCGGTAAGTTTTCTTTACTTTTTCCTTTTCGGCCTATACGAGGACAACATTTTATTTCAATGCTGAAAAAAAAACTACTAATGACAAGCGCGCTTAAGAGGAAATAACATGCATTCACGAACGTGTCAGCCGTTTCTAGGAACAGAGATTATAATGAAACACAATTATAAATGATTGTCGTTATTATCCTCCCCCTCCCCCAAGCCCCTTTAAAATGTTCAAAATATTTCTTGTGATAATTTAGGGGGCGGATGCTTCGACCCTGTCCGTATTGGTCATCCCGGGCATCCCAGCAGAAACGATCTATGAAATAGATTTTACCACGTGAGAATGCATTAAATTTCATGTCTTTTGCGTGCAGTGGCGAAAAGCCCAGTTAAGGAACTGGGGGCTCTCGTGGTATAGAGGTTAAGGTGTTCGCCTCTCATTCAAAGGTCCCGGGTTCGAATCCGGGTAGCGACGGAAAAAGTTTCTTCTCTAAAATTGTCTCCTTTCGCCACCTTTCTGCTCTCTAGCAATATTCTGTCGTCTGCTTTCGTCTCTACTTTCTGCCCCCACGCCCTCACCTCCTTTGCTCCCTCCTCTGGGCTCCTGACTCTCTCTGCAGTCTGTCCATTGCTTCTTCTTGGCTCTTAAAGCTGTCTTTCAGCCACACCCCTGATCTTCTGATAGGAAAGTTGTACACCTAGCCTTCTCTGACAAGGGCGAAAAATCTCGGAGGTGCCGTGTGCAAGTTGTGCACGTTAAAGATCCCTTGGTGGTCCAAAATCGATAAGAGTAGGCTATGTCGCCACCCGGGCAAAATTCAACATTTCCTACTAATTGAAAAATGTTAGATGTGTGCTGCGCGCTCATATAACCGTATGCAGTTGCGAGCGCCGTAAAACACTTACCAAAAAAAAATAATGATAAAAAGCCCTATAACTAGTGGGCCACTGACATCAGTCCAAAACAGATCCTTACACTCAAATGTAACGGAACAAACAAATGTTACACTTTCACGTACTTCTCCTGTTTGTCACTAAAGATTTGTGACCCTCTTAAACTGATTGGGGGCGGGGGGGGGGGGGGGGGGGGGGGCGGAGTTCTCGTGGTTTGGAGGGACAGTGTTCGCCTCTCGTTCCCGGGCTCGAAATATGACAGCTACGGAAAATGTTCTTCTCTAAAGAAATTATCCTTTCATCCTGCTTGTTCTGTAATCATGTTCTGTCGTCTGCTTTTGTCTCCGTTTTCTGCCCCTTCCTTCCCCCTTTACCCCCCTCCTCTGGGCTCCTGACTCTTTCTGCTGCCTTTCTACTGTTACTCCTTGGCTCATTCTTACTGCTGTCTTTCAGCCACACCCTTGACCTAAGGGGAAGTAAAATGTTACACCTGGCCTTCTCGGATAAGGGTGAACAGGTCTCGGAGGTCCCATGTGCAAGTTTCACACGCTAAAGATCCCTTGGTGGTCCCAAAATCGATAAGAGTAGACTTTGCTCGCCACCCAGGCAAAAATCAAAATTTACTCCTGCCAACCTGAAAATGCTTCATGTGTCGAAAACGCTCATATTAAGACCTCATATGCAGTTGTGCGCGCCGTAAAACTCTCACAAAAAAAAAAAGAAAAAAAACAATAAGAAAAACTTGACCCCTCTCGTGTTCCCAGGACGCGGAAGCCGCCCGGCGACAACTCAAGCGCCTTAAGCTCTACATGCACAAGGTGATGGAGTTGAACAAGGCTACCATATCTGAGATCCACAGCTACCAGCGACCGCGCCCCCTCGTGCAGAAAGTCATGCAAGCAACATTCCGACTACTCGGAGAGCCCAACAAGAAAATACAGGTGAGAATTCAGAAGGAGAGGCAGTTTTTGATTCTTAGGGCACATGACATGTATTAATATAATAATATTACATACGTGTAGATCTCAAATGTAATAATTTTATAACAGCTATCTACAATAATTTATTAAATATTATTTATTTGGCATTTTGGTTATGTACATCTTTTTCCGAGGTAAGGATCTATTCTTGTTCCGGAAAGGGGTGTGTGTGTTGAGGAGGGGGGGGGGGGGGATAAGTAGCCAACTCGCATGCAACGACATCCTTTTTTTTGTGTTCAGAACAGTATATTTCATTTTGATGAGACGAGCAGTCAGATTGATAATAATTAATAATAATAATAATAATAATAATAATAATAATAATAATAATAATAATAATAATAATAATAATAATAATAATAATAATAATAATAATATAAGTGATAATAGTAAGAAGAAGAAGAAGAAGAAGAAGAAGAAGAAGAAGAAGAAGAAGAAGAAGAAGAAGAAGAAGAAGAAGAAGAAGAAGAAGAAGAAGAAGAAGAAGAAGAAGAAGAAGAAGAAGAAGAAGAAGAAGAAGAAGAAGAATGTTAGGGCATAGTCTACGAACGTCAAAGAGGTGATGAACGCTAAAAGGGCGACAACACTCGTATTCTTTGCTTGATGCTGTCAACCTGACAGTGGTTATTGCTCCCCTTTGAAAGATAATCTCAAAGAGTTTATCTCAATTTACAGTTAACTCCCTTCACTTGTCCCTTCTCATTTCCACAAAAAATGCCACCAGTTTCCCTGTCCTTTTCTCTTGGTCTATCTGCGTTCTGTTGAAAAAGATTTCTTCGCTTGTTTTCGTGCACTTTAGCACAGAAACATGTTGCGGTACATGAAACAATCTTGGCATATCGGTGGGAAGTTGAAGAATGGTATCTAACTAGATCTATGTGTCCGTGTACGACGTGTCAATTGTTTTCTATCTTTTAACTTTACTAATGTATTAGAATGTGTCAACCTATTAATTGTCTGTTGGCTTACTTATCTTTCTGATTGATATATATGACTCTTTTCGTCTATGCAGACGGTCAATTCAGCTTAAGATGATCTCAAGGTTTTCTTCATGACTTCTTTCATGGCTAATTCTTCCTATGTTTGAAGCGCAGATTCCATCGCAGTGCTCGCATGTCAGTGTCGTAGATCAAAGCTCTGTATTTCCGATTGACTGATAAGGAAAACAGGCTTGTTGATTGCTTGTTGAATAACATATTTACGAACTAACTGATAGATTGTTTATTGATTACCACAGGACTGGAGCCACATTCAGAACTCGATGCGACGTCTGGGCCGAAACTCCATGATCAGTCGCATGAGACGTCGCGATATTGTCGATATAAAGGAACCTCAGGTGAACGACGCAGAGAGGTACCTGGGAGAAACCAACAAAATCCTTGTGCGCATGTGCAGCGCTGGCGCAGGCACATTCTACGTGTGGGTAAGTGAGAGTCACAAAACGTTAAAGATCCCTTGGTGGTCCCAAAATCGATAAGAGTAGACTTAGCTTGCCACCCGGGCAAAATTCAAAATTTACTCCCGCCACACTGAAAATGCTTCATGTGTCGCACACGCTCATATTATGACCTCGTATACAGTTTTGAGCGCCGTAAAACACTCACCAAAACAAAAGTAAATACCAACAAAAACTGAAGACCCCTCTCGTGTTCCCAGGACGCGGAAGCTTCAGTTTCAACCGACGTACTCCTCTAGGCTCCTGACTTTTTCTACTTCTACTCCTTGGCGCCTTCTTACTCCTGTTTTTCCGCCACACCTCTGATCTTAGAGTAAGATATAACACCAAGCCTTCTTGGATAAGGGCGAAAAATCTCGGATGTTCTGTGTCCATGTTGCGCACGTTAAAGATCCCTTGTTAGTCCAAATTCGATAAGAATAGGCTTCGGCCGCTTCCCGGGCCAGATTCAAAATTAATTCCTACCAAAAAGAAAAATGTTTAATAATGCATCCCGTGCGTAAATATGACCGTATGCAGTTGCAAGCGCCGTAAAACACTTACCAAAACAAAACAAGATGTACTCAATTATAGAGGCAAGGGGGGAGCCGTTGGCTCAGATAGTATCATGCTGCTCTATGGAGCTGATGGCCATAACTCGAATCCAAAAACTTCACTGCCCAGGGAATTTTAACAAGCTAAACTGGATTGAAATATTGACGTGAAGGTTATATATGACTTCTCAAATTTAGAGTTTTATAGCAAAATGAAAAGTCCAAAAAATGTTGGATTTTTGCGAAAAGCTTGCAAAAAAAAAATCTTAGCTCAGCACATGCATTAGTATGTGGCGCACAACAGTGGCAAGACAATGACATTACACTCCTGCTAAATAGGAACAGAACAATGGTGGTAGGCTTATTGAATTGGCCAAGAAACAAAGTCTTTTCCTTATAAATCAAAGTGCATGGTTCAATTTTTCAATTTTTGGTTCATGGAACAATAGTTGGTGAATAGCTTCAATTCTTCTGTTGAAAGTGCATTTCCTCTCTTCTATGGCCATGTGGGTTAAAACACATTGTGCCCTCGGACGAGAAAGAAATAACTCAAAGATTAACACCACATTGGGAGTTGCAGCTGTGAGAAGGCAAGTCCTGGTCTGTGGAGCTGGAGAAAAACACGTAATTCATTTCCACCGAAAACTGAATAAATTTTCATTAATATACAGGGTTAAGAGCACTTTCAAAGCAGTGTGACTCTCGTAAAAGACGAAGAACGATTTAGAATGAAAAGGAGCATTTTCTGTACTTTAAAATTGGGTTGGACTGATACTTGAAGAGCAGACTACATCTTTCTCCTTACCCTTACCCTTGACGAGTTTTCAAGCTTATCTCGTAACTGAAGTTTTGCAGGTTAAATAGTACAACTAGAGTCTTTTTTGAGCATGTTGACGTTCAGAATGTTCACGTTCGTCTCTCCTCCACAGAGTAACAATATGATCTCTGAACATCAAGGCAAAGGCACGCTAGATCCAACCAACATCTGGGGTAGAACTAGCAAAGAAGACCCGTATTCCAGAAAGAGCAAAGGAGGGAGCGTTCAAAACTCCCCACGCAAGGAGAAACTGGTCGAGTCATGGAATTTCAAAGACTCAACGCCACGAGGTCAACATTATCATAATGATCCAGGGAGATATTCACCCCACAATGAAGAGAATACGAACATCAAGTCTCGGAGAAACGAAGGGTGGGGTTCAAACACACAGCCCTCAGGCAAACAGCAAGACACTGTTTCCGACGACTGGGATCCGAACCGGCGCTCCGGAAACTAAGACGAACAATTACACCCTTTGTTACTATCTTACACTTAGATTCAAAATGTTAGGTGAACATCTCATTAGTCTGTGCGTACTTTTGTTGCAATCTCAACATAATTATTCTGTGAAAATCTCATTGATTCATGTTATACACAAGATCGACATCTAGTTCATTTCACTTGTTCGATTATCCATAAACATTATTAAAAGTTATATTTTTAATATTTATTATACATATTATGTTTCTTAGACCAGAACTTTCCCTGAAAGCAAATTAGAATCACAATGCTCCATCATGAGTTTTGTAGCACTGAGATGACCTAAGGGCTAGGCCTTCTCAGAAGGCCTAGCCTAAGGGCGAATCCTTCAGGTTTGATCTATTCTGGGGGTTCTGGGATGCGCCAACCTTTTCCCCCTTTGGGCACATGAGCTTGTTTTTCAATTCTTGATAAATTAGGTAGGATTTTTAAAAATGAATTAAGTCAAAAGTACCAGAAAAATTATAGTTTTTCCGTTGTTTTTTGTTGTTGTTGTTTCGTTTGGTTTTGTTTTGTTTTGGGGTTTGGTTGTTGCTGTTACTTTGTTGTTTGTTTGTTTTTTTGTTCTTGTTTTTTTTTGGGGGGGGGGGGTTGGGGGATTGTTTGTTTGTTGAGGGGAGGGAGTATGGGATTTTCTTAATATTTTTTGTCTATTGTGACGGAGATGCTTGCTTTAGTGAGTTTTGCTTTCTTTTTATTACAATGATAATTGTTTGAGAACTGACACCTCTTTGAGTCCGAATGCAGGGTGTGTAAGCAACATAATAATATTATTTTCTCAGCTTGGAACATGATGCTATCTGCAAAGGTAATGTCCCTTCTGTCTCCCGACGGGTTTCAGATTCGCATTGTTTCACCTTTTCTGCCGTACGATACCCAGCATAATACTATTGTATTTCCTAAAAGCTGGATTTATACGCCTTTAAAAGACTTGTTTTTCGCTTAGAAGGATCTATGCGAGTCTTCGCTCTTTCTGTACAGGAGCCTGCGAGTGGAGTTCTCTTAATATAGATAAAAGTAATAAACTACACCGAGTTAAAAGGGAAGTAAACCTCAAATTCAAAACCAACATGGCCTATCTCAGGATGGCCTTAAGTATTAATGCAACATCGCATGGGATCTCGTGCAGCAAACAGCCTCCTATATTTGTGAAAATAAACATTTAAAGAAAAATGTCAACAGTGATTAAAATGATCTACAGGCATAAAACGAACTCCCATCTTCGACGAAAAAAAATATCAACAGAGCTTGTATATAACTTGAAATAGTCGTTTAGCATAATAACGAAGTGACTATTCGGACTCGATATTCGGACTCTGAATTGAGTCCAGCATGACGTCTGTTCCGACTTCCGACCCTTGTTCCTAAATATCTCCACTATTTATGACATTTTTTTTCGATTATTAGCCTAATGATAACAATAGAGACGTGAGCTTAAATACCCAGTTGCTATACCTATCTAAACTGGCCCTCCCTGCATCATTAGTATGAACAGAACAACCAAGTTGAGTTGACCTTTCCGGGGGCAAAGTTTATTTTGTCGACCAATGAGACTGCGTGTAGCGATCACACACTCTCGGCTTGCTGTGGGAAGAGGTGTTGGGAAGAGGCCACGGCTGTCGGTTTTGCGCAATGTGATTTTTTTAAAAATAATTACAAAAAAACTATAAGACTCAACAAAATGAAATTAAATATGTGAAAAGACAAATTGTGGTGGACGTAATGATGATGCTGTAGTGGTGGAGGAAAGACCCTGACTTGTCGGTTACCGTGTACTTAGACACTGCCATTGGGCAATGAGAGTGCAGTCTTTTGACTTTTGACGCAATTACACAGTCCTAGTTGGTAATTCTAGTTCTAATTCTGGTTTTACGTAAAATCCCATGAAGACAGCTATTTTTATGTAACCTCCTTAAAGTCACATAATTTACTTAGGGGCTGAGTCCGAATAGATAAAACCCACTTTCGGACTCGAGTCCGAATAGATGAAACCCACATTCGGACTCGAGTCCGAATAGATAAAAAATCTAATCGGACTGGAGTCCGCATAGAGCTGGCCTTAGCATAATATGAGGTCTGTCAGTATATGCAGGGTGTTCCAGAGTTGAGCTGGGAAAGAAAAAAAAAACGTGCCATCGTGATTCCCTCTGCATACCTACTTTAAACGTTATAAAACTTATTATACAAAAACATAGATAAACTAATTATATAGCTTTTTTCTATTAGTTGACGAAATGTATGATTTTTTTGTTTGTTTCTAAATCAAATTGCGTGTCATATGATGATATGATAGCCTACATCTATAGAATTTTTAAAATTTATTTTATTTAACTTTTTTAATTGCTTATTTTATTTTTTAA